CTCACAGAACAACTAATCAATTCCAGAGCCCATCAATCATCTTAGCTGTATACTGCTCTGGTCTTGCTTAGAGAAGGTCCAGATGGCTGCCTGTGTAAGTGGGATTAATAAAAGTCTGATAGATTACATAGCATCAAACTACAAAATATAACAGGGAAGATCAAATATTACTGCAGGGTGAGATGGATATTTACATGCTTCATTTATTGTATTTTTAATTCTTGTTCTAATTCTCAATTTATGTGCCAAGTTCTAGACAAAACCTGCTACATATACAAGTCGCCCAAGTGTTTTCTTGTTAAGTCAGTATATGGAGTACAGAATCATCTGACTCTTTGCAAAGCCCCATGCTTATTAACCAGAGCGTTTTCTGCAAGTCTGCAGTATAAATGAAACACAACAGATCTCAAGACTAGAGCAACTGACTGTGAGTTACAGGTTTCTTACTCTGTTGCTTTATAGTTCCAAACTCAGATCTAGCATTGGCTCCCTCTTGTTTCCAATTTCTTCTGTAAAAGCAAACAACCTGTACCATATTCTATGATCACACTGACATGATTTTTAGCTCCTAATATAAGCCCTCTGTCCTGGGTCTTAACTGTGGGGACTCTGGAGACCAAGACTCTTAAAGCTGGCAGTGACACAGTCAGTTATTTTGTGCCAGATACTGTGCTAGGACGGCTGCGAGCATGTATTCCTATAGTCCACATCAGTACCACAGGAGAAATGCACAGCGGTTACCCCCATGCCACAGAGCTACAAAGTGGTAGAACCAACATTTGAATGTGGGCAGTTTGGCTACCTAATTTTTTATACTTCATTAGCCTCACACTGTATCGCCTCTATTATACTACAGAACAAGTAACTAGCTTCAGAAGGAGAAACTGGTGTCCGGAACAGTAACACAGAGCTCTGTACCGATGGCATTATATTGTCACTTTCGGTAACACAGTGGAAATAAAGGTCAGAACCAAAACAGGTAGAGAGCAAGCTCAGACTTGGCTCCAGGTGCCCATGGCTCAAAAAGTTACAATGAAACTAAAATGGGCCCTGAACGTATCAGCTACCGTGCACAGCCATTGGGAAACCTGCCACAACAATGGAGCCTAGGCCTTCTGAAATTGGTTTATAGAAGCTGGTTTTCCTGGTCTTTAAAAATTTGAAAAAAAGACAGAAGTTTACATATTAAAGTATCCAAAACAGACCTTCGAAATACATTTGTAATTTTTTTTTAAAAACAATGGTTCTGTAGAGGAAAACTTGTCCTTTCATTCAAGTCAAGCATTTTCTGTTTCTAGAACCTATCACTTTCACCTTGGCTAAACTAATTCAGCCAAGAAACAGCAATTAACTTCAGTTAAAGCAGCACTTTCTCTTGGAAAAAGAAAACACCAGCTACTATATTTTACAAAATCCAATCAATATTTGATTACACGAAAGTCAACAAAAAGCCCATTTTCAATGCTGCAACTGCAGTCTTATACTTAAATGATAAGGACTAGATGTGGTCCTTCACTGGAGTAACCCAACATTTCAGTACGGAATAATTTTCACCATGATCTAGTTTGTTATGCCAGAACTCTGTTCAATTATAAAATGGATTCTCTAACATAAGAAAATTAGCAGTTGCTGTAATTTCTGATCTGCTATAGCAGTAATAAAATTACTGTTTGTAATAGTTAAAAGGCGTTCAGTGGCTTTCATATTCATGTTTTTTACTGTTTCATATATTAACAATATGTTTCGGAATACAAAGACTTAGATCATATCATGAGAAGACTAACATTTAGTGACTTAATGAAATAAGGCCAAGACTAACCAGTTTGGCCGTAGCAGAGGTTCGTATTTCATTCCATTAACCAATAATGTTTATTAAACATACAAGTAGACGTAAAAAAAGTAGAGAACATACTATTAAAAGGTGAAGAAGCTGAGAAGCACAAATATCCACAATGTTTTGTCTCAGATTCATAATAAATGTGTTAAGTTGAATTAAAATATCCGCTTTATAAAAATAAGTGATACTATTTTCTCATGTTTCTTATGATCAAATTCTAAATACTGATTTAAATCTAAGAGTCACTTTTTTAGGAATTGGATGGAGGATAAGCAGGTAGGATAACTCTTCCAATGTAGCTTAGCTCTATCTTAGGAACACGCCAGTTACCCAGATATCTACTGTCTCTTCAACGGGAGCACGTGTGATTTGCTTTCCGCAGAGGTACTGGAATCATTCTGGTCACTGGACATTCCAAAAGAAACTGTATTCAACATGTCATTTTGAAAAATACTACAGTCTGGGAGCCCTTAAAGAAATTGGCACACAAAACAGGGATCATTATTACTTATAGATAAGTGATTGATATTATTAGAAAGTACATATGGTGATTTTTAAAAAGCAAAGTCAAGAAACTATCTCAATGTATTTATCTAACTAGGAAAGTAAAATAGCCTATACATTTTCTTAAGTGCTTAGAGGAAGAGGTGGATGGGCAGATCACAGGAAAGCCAAACCAGCACTCTCTGCTTTGCGAGGCCACGAGGCCAAGGTTATGTGAGCAACAAGCACTGAACCATCAGTTCCTCAGGGAAGCAGCCGGGGAGACCTCCCAAGCTCTGGGCACTTTCACCAGATACCTACTAACTTCTGGGAACTTTCTCAGATAGAAAGAAATCAGAAAGGAATAAAATATGCTCCTTGATCTCCAAAACCTAAGTTCAGTGGAAGGATATTGTTGTTTTTTTAAAATTATAATTCATTGTGGTATAACATAATAAATGCTGTAAGAAAAGTGTGAACGAAGGACTATGGGCAAACAGAGAAGGAATGACTAACCTCCCCTCCTATCATGTATGAAAATGACTTGAACATTTAATAAAACTTTGATTGGTAGGATTAGGGTTCTAGTAGACTCCAAAGATGGAATATACAAATTAATAACCCCCAAAACACTTTCTGAATATATAAGGGTTAAGGGGGAAGGGGAGTAAATTTTGAAAATGTTTTTTAAACTCTGCTTCCTCAAAACTGTATGGGCTCCTCTCGAGTTCTCAGGGACCCTAAAAGGGAACAGGGCAGCAGATGTACTCCAGGCCAGTAGCAGCCTCAAGGGTACCTTTATTCCCCTTAATTCCCCATCAGCCTTTCCTATCCCAACCCAAATAAACATTTAATCTAAGTAAAAAAACAAAACAAAAAAAAAACAGTGAGCTTGCTATGCAAATAGATTCAAGAGAGGACCTCTAGTATTAACTGACTAATCGTTAACTGGAAACTATGAGCATTTCAAGTTTTTGATTCATAGTGGATCAGTAACTTCCCTCGCAGGATGCTACCTGGGAGTTCATCACCATTTCTTTAGGTGGTGGATGATGTCAGCAAATCCTTCTGCAAGAGTGAACCATAAATTTTTGGTACATTTCTTTCTTACTCTATGAAGATAGATATTTGTCTTCAATTATTTGAGGTAATTCCAATTTTCCACTTGAAAATTAGAGTTCATTTACATCACGTTAATGAGGAAGAAAAGTAAAGTTTAGATAACTCAAAAAGAGTAAAAACATCAGAGATTCCCATTTCGTATTTATTGTATTTGTAACTTAGAGGAATATGTCACATGACTTTCAAGCAGAACAGAATCCTTTTCCTGATTTACACAAGCAGTGCTGAAAGAAAAAGATTATCCACGATATTTTATACATAACATACAAAATTTAAGACATTTATTAAATAATACAAAATGACCTTTAACATTTTTTAAATTGTGGCAAAAATCATACAATTTATCATCTTAACCATTTCTATGTGTACAGTTCAGTTAGTGCTAAGTAAATTCACATTGTGCAACCATATCCAAAACCTTTTCGTCTTGCAAAACGGAAACTGTGCCCAGTGAATAACAACTTCTCATCTCCCCTTCCCTTCAGCTCTTGACAACCACCATTCTACTTCCTGTTTCTGTAAATGTGACTACTCTTTTTTTTAAAATTATTTTTCTTTATTGATTTTAGAGAGAGGAAGGGAGAGGCAGAGATAGAAACATCAAAGAGAAAGAATATCATCTGGCCACCTCCTGCGTGCCCCTCCACCTCCCGGGGGATTTGGCCCACAACCTGGGCATGTACCCTGACCAGGACTTGAACTGGTGACCTCTTGGTGCATGGGTAGAAACTCAACCACTGAGCCACACTGGCCAGGCATAAATATGACTACTCTTGATACCTACTATCAGTGGAATCATATAGTATTTATCTTTTCGTAACTGGCTCATTTCACTTAGCATAATCCTGAAGTCTCATCCATGTTCTAGCTATGCTTCAGAATTTCCTTCCTTCCTTTTCTCCGTCATATATACCATATTTTATTTATCCATCTGTCAATGGACACTTGGGTGGCTTCTACCGCTTGCCTATTATGAATAGTGCTGCTATGAGCATCAGATTCCGCTTTGGATATAGAACTAGAATTAGAATTGCTGGGTCACATGGTAATTCTCTGCTTAATTTTTTGAGGCACCTCCACAGTGTTTTCCTTAATGCACCATTGTTTTATAATCCAAAGTGATCTTTAATTTGTAGCTAGAGTAAATAAACGATAAAAATTAAAATCTTAAAAAAAAAAAAAAGGAATGGTATTTTGAGGAAAACAAAAACAAAAATTCATAGCTTTAGATTTTCTGAGACACAAAATCTTGCCCTACCAACAACTTACACGGCAAAAAGGGTTATCATCTGGCACTGATTCAGACACTTAATGATTTTAAAGATTATATACGTTAGAAATTCTTTCCTGCCATTTGTTATCCTAGTAGAGATACCATCAAATCAGTTTCAGGTTAAGAAAAAGTTCTTCACAAATGGACGTTTTCAGGATTAAAAATATATAGATACACACACACACACACACACACACATACACACAATATATATACATTAAGTAGATAGATAGATAGATAGATAGGGAAATATCCCTATTATCAAAGACCAGAAGAGAAAATTACCTGATGATTTCTTCATGATACAGAGAACTAATAACTGGGCCACCAAAACCAGTGGGTGCTTCTTTTCCTTTCTTCTCTGGTGACTGTGGGGGAAAAAGGAAGAAAAAAGACACATGGATTAAAGCAGTGTGTATTTAAACCAGTTACAAAATACTACTTCGTTAAGGAATACCAGAAGTGTGACTGTCCACCACTTCTCCAAGGCACTAGTCAGTTTCAAGATGGTATCAGAAGGGCAAGCAGACTCCCAGGCCATCTGGCCGTGGCATGAGTACCCACCAGCAAGCTAAGGCCATTCCACTACTGCCTCTGGGGTCACCTAAATAAAAGTCATTCCCCTAGCTGATTATAAGATGCTAGTTATGTTCACTGTAGAAAATATGGATATTCCATGTGGAAAAATGAAAACAAAATATGAAATAAAGGTGATCAGGAAAATCGTATCTACATTAACAAAATTAAAGTCCCCCCCAAATAAAATAAACTGTAGTAAACCTTAAAATTCAACCATAAAAAAAAATTATTTTTGGTGGCCAGAAGGTAGAAGGGTGGGGAGTCAGGGTGGGGGGAGATCTAAAATAAAAAAGAACCAAACTGTTACAGAAACATTTTCCAAAATCAAGTATTTAATAGGCCCTGCCCCTTGTTAGTCTTAAAAAGCACAAGATGAAGATTAAATTTGGAAATAAGATTCTTCCAAAACGTGTAATGTGGAAGCAGGGGGCCTGGATGCTAACGCTGTCTGAAAGGCTTGCACTGCAACCTGTGCAAAAGCCACGTCTCCTGCAATACTGAGTGTCGACACCCTTACCGAAAATCTGTTGGCCGTACAAGTGAGGGCTTATTTTTAGATTCAATTCTATTCTACCGGTCTATCCTTATGCCAGTACCACAATGTTATATATAATTACTGCAGTTTTATAGTAAGTTTTGGAACTGTAAGTGTGAATCTTCCAATTTTGTTCTTTTTCAATATGGTTTGGACTTTTTGGGGCCCTCTGCAAATCCATCTGAATCTGAGGACTGGCTTTTTCACTTCTGCAAAATGGCTTTTAAAATTCTGATACAGATTGCATCGAGTCTGTAGGTCACTTCGGGTAGTACTACCATCTTAATATAAAATCTGCCAATCTATGAACATGGGATGTCTTTCCACTTATTTAGATCTTCTTTAAGTTGTTTCAGCATTAATTTATAGTCTTCAGTGTAAAACTTTTCACCTCTTTGGTTAATATTCCTGGGTATTTTGTTCTTTTGGATGTTATTATAAATGAAATTTGTTTGTTGTTTCCATTTTGGGGTGTTCATTGCTGGTGTATAAAAACACAAATGAGCCCTGGCCAGTTTGGCTCAGCGGTTAAAGCGTCAGCCTGCGGTCCGGAGAGACCCGGGTTCGGTTCCCGCTAAGGGCACGTACTTCGGTTGCAGTTTGTCCCCGGCCCTGGTTGGTCGTGCGGGTGGCAGCCACTCGATGTGTCCCTTCATGTCGATGTTTCTCTCTCGCTCTCCCTTCCTCTCTCTCCCTCCCACTCTATCTGTACAAAAAATGGAAAAATATCCTCGGGTGAGGATAAAAAAATAAAAAAAAATAAATAAATAAAAACACAAATGATTTTGGCATGTTGCTCTCGTATCTTGCACATTTGCCAAATTCATGTATTATTAACCCAAGTAGTTTGGGGGGGGGGGGGTGTCTTTCGATTTTCTATAAGTAGGATCACGTTATCTAACAAGAAAGCTAGTTTCACTTCTTACTTTCCAATATGAATGCTATTTATTTCTTTTACTTGTCTAATTGCTTGTAGAATTACGTACAATGTTGAGTAGCAGTGGTAAAAGCAGGCATCCTTGTCTTATTCCTGATCTTAAGGGGAAAGCTTTCAGTCTTTCACCATTGAATGTAATGTTATTTGTGGCTTTCTCATAAATGCCCATTATCACGGTGAGTAAATTTCACCTTCATTTTTAAAGTTATCTTAAATGCGATAGAATTATGCCTCGATAGTTTTTTTCTTTCAATATTGTCCCTACTGACTTCAGACTTCTGAAAATTAGTATGCTGTAGTTCTCACCTTTGTTCTTCTCTCTCTTTTTTTTAATCTGGATGCTTTTAAGAATTTTTTCCACTGGTTTTCACCAATTTGATTATGATGTATCTTGGTGTTTCTTCTGCTTGGGGTTCATTAAGCTTCTGGGATCTATGGATTTATGGCAGTGATTCTCAACTAGGGAAGATTTTTTGCTCCTTCTATTCCCCCAAGAATATCTAGCAATGTCTGGGGCAATTTTGGTTGTTGCACGTGGATAGTCCTATTGGCTTCTAGTAAGTAGAGAGTGGAGTTGCTACTAAACATCCTAGAATACACAGTTCAGCCTTCCACAACAAATAATTATCCTGCCCCAAATATCAATGCTGCAAAGGATGAAAATTTTTGGTTTATAATTTTCATCAAATGCTTAAAATATCAGCTATCATTTATTAAATTTTTCTTTCTTATCTCTCTTGCTTTTCTCTTATTTCTGGGCCTCCAATATGCTATATTGCTTGATATTTTCCCATAGTTCATTGGGGCTCTGTTCATTTTTTACTCAGTCATTTTATGCTCTGTGTTTGATTTTTATTAGTAACACTTGAGACATCTTCAAGTTCACTAATCTTTTCTTATGCAATGTCTAATCTGCTGTTAATCCTACCCAGTGTCTTTTTCATATCAAAGATTATTTTCTTTCTTGTCTAGAAGTTGCATTTAGGTCTTTTTGTATCTTTCATTTCTCTCTCCATTATGTTCATGTTTTCCTCTACTTTTGAGAATATATTTATAATAGCTGTTTTCATCTCTATCATTTCTGCTTTCATTGACAGGTTTTTCTCTTGGTTATGGGCCATACTTTTCTGCTGCTGTCCTTGAATGCTTGAAAGACTTTTACTGTAAGCTGGACATTGTAAATTTTACACTCTTGTTTGCTGATTTTGTTGAGTTCCTTTAAATTATGTCAGACTTTGTTTTGGCATGAATTCAGTTATGTGGAATCAATTTGATCCTTTCAAGGCTCACTTTGAAGCCTTGTTGAGGCAGGGACAGAACAGCATTTAATCTAGAGCTTAATTTAGCCTCACGACTGAGGTGAAATCCTTTTGAGGCCTCTAACATGTGTTCCATATATTACATTTTCTTTCCACTCTGACTAGTAGGAAATGAAATATTCTCAGTCCTATGTCAGCTCCAAGAATTGTTTGGCTTACTGCTTTCTTTTATTTCTTTTCCCAGCCTATTAGTTTCCTTTCACACACACACACAGATTAGTATTCCATCAAAGGGACCCTTCTGCAGATCTCTGGAACTCTCTCTCCATCTGCAGGAACATCCTCTCTAGTATTCAGCCCTGCATTTTCTAGCTCAAATCAGCAAGACAACCAGACTCTTTTGGATCCATCCTCCCTTCACTGTAGCCTGGAAATTGTTTCCAGGCAATAAGTTGAGGCAATTGTAGAGCTCCTTTGTTTCCCTTCTCTCCTAGTTTTATACTACTTTCAGTGCCAGGCCTGAAAATTATTGTTTCATCTACTGTGTCTAGTCCCTATTACTCCACCCCCAGAAGAAGAAGTCCCATAAACATGCATTTAAAAACCAGGTTAACAATCCATGCAGTAATGTACTATAATTTACTAAACCATTATCTGACAGTGTCTATTTAGGTTATTTTCACTTCTCCACTCACAAAGATACAATGAATATATTTGTACATAAAGCATAATACAGTTGTAATTAAAATATGACTCCATAATTTGATTATAGTGTATTCTAAATATATTTCTTCTTCCTGGGATTAATTTCTCTTTCTGAAGCAAACATGTTAGAATGCTGCTGACAACTTTTTTTTTCTGGGGGGTGGGGGAAAAGGGGAAGATTATATCTTAAGCAGAAATAATATTTCAAAAATAATCTGCCATTATCAGATTGAATTCAGAATAAAGCTGCCAAAGATGCATTAGTTTTCGTCTCCATCCACTTCATCTACAAGAAGGGGTAAACTTTGGCTACTCTAGCCTCTAGATTTCCACTCCAATGAAATGTTTCTCATAGAGGCTTAAGAAGTTTATTCCATTTCTCTCTACTCAAAATCCATTAAGTTATTTTTATGTTGCATCAGCAGTTAAAGAAAGAGACTCCAGTTTGGCAGCCAATAGGATAAAATTTGCCAATTCTTACATTGCCTCAGACTATATTATTTGAGACACTGAAATGCTCCTTCACTCAGAGGGGAAAGGATAAGTTGTTGGCTGAATCTTTACCATTTGGATTCAGATTCCACATTAGTCAGTTGCAGGGTCAAGACTTAAAACCTTGTGAAATTTTCTTTTCCATCTGAAAAATAACTATTCCAAATGTTATCAGACTAATGTATGCAAGGAGGGGGTTTCTTGCTAACACGTGCAACCTTTTTGGCTTCTGTTCTATTGGTTTGTTTGCTTAATTTGTTTATAGGTCTAGCTGTACAACTGTGGGTAAATCAATCTCTCTGCTTCAGATTCCTCATATGTAAAATCAGGAATAGTGGCTATCTCATCTGAGGGTTTAAAGTATTTTAAATATATATATCAAACAGAATGGTGCTCAGCACAAAGGGGACACTAGATAAGTGTTACCTAATATAATATTAGTGATTTTTCCAAAATATTGCCATTTCTCCAAAGTGAAAGTGTCTCAGCAAGATAGATAGAAGATGTTTTGAGGTGGAAACTGACAATACTGAATCATGAGTCTTTATCTAATATTCTCCTGATAAAACAACAAACCCCAAAACCAAACAAAAAGTTTAACATAATAACTGTCATTAAGAAAAAAAGAAAAGCAAACTAAGACTAATGAGTGTCTTCCATATGCTTCACACTCTACATACATTTTCCAGTTCCAACTTCAAAGCAGTTCTGTAAAGTTGGCAGTTTATTGCATTTCATTTAATTAAGACATCAAATTATAAAGAACACCATTACTTTATGTAATGTTAAGAAAGAAAAATATATCCAATTAAATAAAATACACCATCAATTTTAGGACAAATTCAGTTTTTTTAATGTTAA